CCTCTGAATGGTGGTGCCGTCCATGGAGAGGAGAAGACTAGAAAGAGGAGCAGAGTCTACCTCGTTTTGGAGTATCATATATTCTCATTGGACACAATCAAAGGTTGTTATGGCGTCTGCTGGACATGCCAAGTTCTGCTCCAGGCACTGGAGATACAATGGCTGTCCCCTCAGGATTCTTCTACTCCACTGAAAAATGATTAGGGCAGTTTGAGACTTGAAAACATAAAGAAGTGCTTAAACCCATAAGGATAAATTAATATCCCAAAGTGGTTCAAGCAGCAGTGGTTCAGTGCTAAGATTCTAGCTGTTCATCCTAGACACCCCAGTTCAATTCCTGGCCAGTCCACACCAGATGTAGCCCATCAGTGAGGGCTTGGGTTTTATTTTGATTTCAGTTTCTGGTGGAGTTTACAGGCTAAGATGGAATAGAAAGAAAGCTAGGAATATCTACTTCCAAAAATCAGCCAGTGAACACTATGAATCTCTTGGGTCCTTTATGCAGGTAACTTCCACGAACTAGACATTACCTAAGAACAGCACAAAGTACAGCAGATGGAGAAGAGATTAAGGATTCAACTCATGACCACGCTGTTCCAACAGTGTTCTGAGTGAAAGATAGGTAACTGGAGTGAGTGAGCTACTCTTTGGATGCTATATCAGATCTCCATTGGGATATCACTTATTGTTAAAATGGCTAAGTGTTTAAGGGACTTTAAACCATTTAAATAGCCTTTCATGCATTCTTTAGTTAATAATTTTAAAAAGAAATAAGATCAAGAGCCAGAACAACATAGTAATTTAGAGTGACAGAGCCATTCTGTAAATGTTCACTTGTCTCCTTGAACTTAATCCTGAAACTTCTCTCGGCCTAACGTGAAAAAACGGGATGCACAAATGGTTAGGGTGATCACCTGCCAAGCAAAAGGTGAGAGAATCAAACCCCCCAGAGATGCTTGATGGAAAGGTCTAGTGACCTGCTTTTGGAAAGGCAGTTACTGAGAAACTTATGGAATACAGCTCTGCTCTAATGGACAAAGCATCTCTGAGTCAGATCTCATTCGACGGCAGCAGGTCTAGGTTACACAAGATTTTATTGTATTAAAAAAAAAAACCCACACAACAGTGGCATCCCAGACCTCAAGTGGACATATCCAAAGGCTGGGCAAACAGGATATATATTCCCTAAAATGTAGATATTTTTTTAAAAGAATTACTCCTGAGATACCCTTTTTCTTCACTCTTAGAGTTTTTCTGTAATTCTCATCTGCAAATGAAATTTTAAAAAGAGGAAAGAAAAGAGGCAAATATTTTTATAGCAGTCATGAAAACAATCTGAAATAAACAAGCCTGGGCCTAAAGATGAAGGAACTAGTTAAACAGCTATTACTCGACCCACCCACTACATACATAAGGAGCTAGATTACTATATACAAAGGGCTTCAAGACATTTATAGGAAAGTGAAGTTAAAAGAAAGGAATTTTTCTGTGAACTTTCTGAAGCCCCATCATATCCATTTCCAAATGTATGCAGTGTGTTTTATGCCCTTTCCTTATGGTCCAAGATAGTACTTTATAGAGGCGGTCCAGAGTGGCAATGACCAGAAGGGCTGTATTTGTATGACCTCTGCTTTGTATTTAAGGACACTCGTGTTTCATGTCCTAAAGAAATCCTTTGGGTTTATTTATGGTCCACATGCTCCATAAAACAAAAGGTTATTCAAACAAAGCAAATTCAAATGTGATTATTGCTGCATACTTGCAAGAGCAATTTCTGGTTCCTTATGTGCAGTCAGAGTTCTTCTATGGACCGCACATGACCATGCTAATGAGCTCATTACTGAAAGTAGCAGTTTAGTAAAATGTATGAACCTATATGAGGTTATATAGCTGCCCTGTACATACACATTATCTTTATCTCTCCTAACACCATGTGCGCCACCTTCATTTAAGAATAGTTGGGGTAAAGATAAGAAAACTTTTCTCATTTGAAGGCATCTCCTTACAATCATTCTGTAACTATCAGGTTGCAATTATGTATGGGATATAGGTTACATTTTGATCTAATGAAACTATCTTTTGATGGTCCAGAGTGGATACCTGCAAATGAATACCCACCTCCATCCTTAGTTTTCAAAAGCAAAGCTGGAAAATGAAAACTAGACTCAATCCATATGTTTCCTATATAATAATTCAGAAAATTAATCCTTTGGTTAATTAATCCACATCTCAAGAGAAAATCTTTATTTGCACCGGAACTACAAAAGTTAGTCTGTAGTTTTCAGGCAATTTAATATTTACTCTGTTTAAAGTCTTACAGGGATGGGATGGGTAATGAAAAATCATAAATAATATTAGCACATATCTTCTATGAGGAAGCAAAATTCAACATTTTTATTTACCATAAAAATGCACATATAAATAACCCACCAGGCAAATTTCAATGCAAATCCATGTATCATTTGTCACTGAATAAAATTAATTTCTGTGTCTAACACTGGAATATCCAGTATATCTTTGAAATGGCACAAGCTTCTCTACATTTCAAATTCATGGGGAAAATAAGCAAACACTTGTAAGAAGGATAAGAAGTTCAGAAATCACCAGATCTTGGAAGAGTAAGGAAGCTTAAGAGCTGCTTCAAAGCAGGCCATTCATGCATGAGGAAACAGTCCTAGGGTACAGAAACAGCCTAGAGGGCAGTGTTGTCTACAACCCAAATTGTCAACAATCCCTTTGGAGTGACTGTCAGCATTATGAAGTAAATCAAAAGCCATCCAATGTCAAATACTTGCTTTCATTCTAACTGAGGAAGAGTGTCCACAGATCCTTCTCTTTCGACCTTAATGATCTGATATATATATACATATATATATTGTATATACCCCTATGTATAGCCATATACATATATATACACATATATTAGTTTCACAAGCAAACTATAAAAATATAACATTACCTCTTCACTTTTAACTAACTTCTCAATCCAGTGCAGATTTCCACACTATCACTATGAATCCTGCTTGTATAACTCTGGCTCACCCACAAACCCTCCCTTATCCTCCCATGTTAAATCAGAACAAAGGTTCTTTGGGTATCTCTGGGACATAAGAGGTGGGTGGGGAAGAGAAGTAAGGATGAGAGGGAAGGAAAACTGGAGAGGAGAAAAGGAGAGAAGGTGGGGAGGGTAAGAGGAGAGAAATGATGTCTTGCTGCTGCTGTTCCAGCAAGCTGGTGAATGGCATTTGTTTCGTATATGCATCTCCAAGCACCCGAGTACATGAATTACATTCTGTAAAACCGAGTTCTCTGAGTCCCTCTGTCACTTCCACTGAGCAGTTCAATTGTATTCCTCCTAGCTGGGCACTGATTCCTTTTTAAGAACAACCAGAGGAAGTGAAAGAAAGAAAACTTAATGGTAAGTCTGTCATTTAAGACATAGAAAATAAGTAAAACCCAAATCTTCCTATGTATGGCAATCCAATGCACTTGGTACATTTGTACACCTCTGTTCTTTTTAACATGGAAAATGTATTTTAGGAAAAATGCATGGCATTGAGGATACGTGTTGGCACAGTATCATTCACAATGATTGAATCCTAAGCACACACTCCTGGAAGGTGAAAAGAGAACAGCAGTGTGCACACAGGCATGCAGTGCCTACTACATGGGGTGGGGGGGGGGGAGGCAAAGCTACGCAGATAGTCCAAGACTAAAAACAACCACTGAACAGTAGATCATCAGTTTGCCTGGTGTCTACAGAAAGGCTTTCTTTCTGAATCTGAGACATTGGATTCTGTGAAGCAGCAGCTGCCAGGAACAAAGTGTCCCAAGTAATTCATTCGTCCACAATGCAAACGCTGGAGGAAAGTTTATAGAGCAACAGCAACATTGATGCTTTAAATATTTGGACCAAACACACCTCAGATTGTTCACAAATAAAACAATTAAGAATCTACATATTTCACTTTTACAACGTGTGCCTGTCCTCTTTCCACTGCAGACCATCCATGTTCCCCAAGTCTCCAGAAGAAATGAAAGTCTCTGATGTCAAGGATCCCTGGTGTGATCTTCTTTTTGAAACAAGACGACTTTGTAAAAAGATGGGTGAATGAATCGTGTACCCTTTTATTCAAAGAAGCTACAAAGAGGATTTCGCCACAGTCTTGCAAGAAAAGGACATCCTGTGAAAATTCCCCAGGAAAGCCAATCTGGACAAAAGGCAGGGGAATCACAGGCAGAATGCTGCCTGCTTGACAGAGGCACTCACTCTACCTAGAGGGAGCCACCTACAGCACCTGTTTCTGTTCCCCATTGTGTTTGCCCATTGGGGACTGAGCTGCCAGCTCCTTGTAGGGAGCCCTCCCATAGCTGAGGCCGCCCTCCCTGCTTCCTCTTTAAGGGAGCATCCCCCAATCTTACTTTTGACAGCTTCCTCCCCCCCCCTCACCCCCACCCCGCACCACCCCACTCCACTCCCTCCTAGAGCTCTAAATGCTGCCTTCTGATTTCACTCTCCAAGAGGGAGAGCGCACTCAACAGCACACAGGTGGATACAGTACCTTGATCCCCAAGATACTCTGTCTCAAATTCCTAACCAATTGTACCTTGGCTGAAGTGTCTATGACTACTTCACCACCCAAGTTCAGGCAGAAGAACAAACACCAGGGAAAGCGAGCGGGAGCAATAGGATTAGACTCTTTCAAGAGATGGACATACATATTTCTTATTCTAACAGAAGTGGGAAACACTATGGTGCAAGTTCTCAGTTAGTCCATTCCTTCAGCAACAACCACAACAAAAGGTGACGACCAGCAAGTGCCCCTGGCAGCAGCTCTAGAAACAAAAGACCGAAGCTCTGTCCCCAAAGACCCCCCCCCCCCATGCCCAGCCGAAATAGATTTACAGACGTTTATGTCGTTGTACTTGTCACCCACATCCCACTCGGAGCGAAGTGACTTGGGGGAGTGGGGGGAAGGACGAAAGCAGCTTTAACTTACCATCGGCCCGAGCATATAGAAATCCAAAGAGAAGTAGTTTTGCCAACATCAGCAGACTCATTTTGACATGTTATAAAGGATCCAGATTGCTTAAGAAACCAATCCCAGAGAGTGAAAGTATAAAAATGAGTATTAAAAAATATATACAAGAGGTAGGTCCGAAGTGTAGACTTTCCTAGATGCCAATTAAAGTCAAGAAGAGCAAATCACAAGAGCAAAAAGGGGTTGGTGGGAAGGTCTTGAACAGGACACGTTTAGATCCATCCAGTTTCACAGAGAACCCTCCAAAATCGTGTCTTTCCACAGTCGGCTTTCTAAATTCCCACCAATTCGGTCCCAGCCGGAGGGGTGATGCACGTGGGTCTAACCTCTTTCAGCCTCCCGTGCCATCCAAAGCCACGTCCTTTCTTCTGATGGCAAAAAAGGATGAGGGAGGTAAAAGAGCGAATTCCTAGAAAGTGTGGCACCAACTTGCCAGCGCGCCACCGAAAAGCCACTGTCTGCCTACTGGTTTGCTTTCGCCCCGATCTCCTTCTGCGTCGCGGCTCCAAGTCCGGAGTTCTTCACTGAACTTCCATACTAAGGAGGTGTCAGAGCAACACTTTGCAGGCAGCCCGGCCCGGCGGACCTCTCCTGGCAGCCTTTTTTTTGTAAACTCCCTCCACCTCTCTCTTTTGCCAGGCGAGGGGAAATCAGGAAGACTTGGATGGAGAAACCGAACTCCTCCGAGGAGGGGCTGAGGCGGAGGAGGGAGGAGGGAGGAGGGA